GGGCCTTTGAGGGAAAGAGATTTAGACCCATTTGGGTGTGGGTAATGTAATTTGGATGATCCGGTGGTTCGGTTTGTGTTTTGGAGCCAATGGGCATTTCGGTAAAGTGTTAGTTAGGGCTTTTATAGAAATTGGATTTTTGTTCGGGAAGTTTTAAGATAAGTATGAGCTGATAGAAGTGTAGAGCTTCTCGTTACTTCTTCGTGGATATAAGGATCATTGGAAACAGACTTATAACGAATAAGGTATGGCCTTTGGAAGTTTGGTGATTTTAGGGTTTAATCGAGTACGTGGGGTGTACACATGTGTACGCATGGCATACTAGGGAGAAGGCCACTACATTGGGCGTACATCGGTGTACATTGGGTGTACTAGTTAGTATGATCGTGAGTGCTCCAGGGAGTACATTGGGCGTACCAAAAGTATGTTGGGCGTACTCCAGTCATACCCAAACCCTAATTTAGGGTCTTGGACCCTATTTAAGCTCCTTAACTCGCCACCAAACTCTATTATCTTCAACCTCCATCCCTCTAAACTCTAGAAACAAAACCCTAGCCCCCATTTGAGTGGTTTTTTTAGCTTTTGGTGGTATTTCAAACATTTTGATGATCTTTGAAAAAAAAAGGAGCTTCTTGGAAAAGTGTGGGATTGCTTGGAGCTTTGGGATCCAGCCTTTGTGCACCTTGATCTATCTTCTGGAGGTATAAAGTTTCTATCTTGATGACTCTAGGTGTTAGATCTAGTTTAAGAAGTAATTTGGGTTCTTTTTGGTCCTTAGAGTCATCCTTGTGAGTATGAGCTACTCCAAGAGCTTAGAACGATGGATCTTCGCCTTTGGTATGTCCCTTGTTCATAAAAATGTCATCTTGATGAGTTATTTTGGTGCATGCATGAGTTTGGGTGATCATCATGGATTTTATTAAAGTTTTGGTCCCATTAAGCCTTGCAAAGGAGTATAGTTGCCAATTTTACGTGTTAAGGCATCTCATTAGGGTCATATCCAAGTTTGGAAGTCATTGTCTAAACCATTAAGAGCTTATTTTGGAATTTTGGACCCTGGAGAAGTATGATGGGCGTACACAAGTGTACGCTCAATGTAATGCTGATTTTGTGCATCAAGGACTTGTACGATGTGCTTCGAGGGTAAGTACGCTAGGCGTACTTCCTAGAATGTTATTTTTGGCCTTTCGAGGTTTAAGCCGTATTGGGCCATTGGGCTTCTGACTGTGGGCCTCAGATAGACTTAGTGTTTTCTTGTAAGTAGGTCTATGATGGTTTTGGGGCCCAATCGGGTTATTGGTCCATAATGAGCTTTTGTTGCTTTTGATTTGGGCTTTGGATTGCAATTTTGGGTTTTGGACTTTTTATGCATTTTGGGATGGGCCTTGATTATGGAACAAGTAAGAAAAAGGTAAAAATGGTCTTTTACCCTTTAAGGAGTTGGTTTAGGGAGTAAGGGCATTTTGGGTTATCGGGTTAATTATTGATTAAGATTGTATTTATTAGTTAGTTGGCACAAGGTTATCCAGTTCTACGGTTCGAGCAGTTATTTGATCGTCAACAGTTTGAGGTGATTCTCCTTACTGTACTTGTGTGTCGAAGGCACCAATGTCGGTCCTTTAGGTATTGGTTATGCTAGTTGTCTTTGTGACTCTTGCATGGTATGTTGGGCGAGGCCCATTTGTATGTTGGGCTAGGCCCATTATATGACAGGCTAGGCCCATTTCTATGTTGGGCTAGGCACATGGAACATAAATGAATAGGCCCATTGTATGTTATGCAGGTGCTAACTGTTTTTGTGACTTTTGAATTTGTATGATGAGGCTAGGCCCAATGGTTTGGCAGGGCTAAGCCTATTATGGTGGGTTGGACCCAATATGTAGGCTAGGCCCAATACGAGGATTAGGCCCAATGGTATGTATGGTATGTGGTATTGTTAGGAACTCACTAAGCTTTGTGCTTATGATTTTTATGGTGATGGTTTTAGATATTTTTGGTTCGAAAATAAAAGGTCCGGCTTAATCACAACGCATCCACCCATGTTTCCGCATCATGATGATTTTGGGATTGTAATCTGATATCTATTTTCTTATAAAAGTACTTCTAAATATTTACATAAACGATTATTGAATATTGACTTAAAGATAATTAATGTTTTGGTTAAATTAAAAATAATTTTTTTATTGATAATTTTGGGTCGTTACATATTTTCTTTTTTCAAATTGCATCGGAGATACTCGTATAAAAGCAATTTACCAAAGTAGAATAAATAAATAAATAATTGGTTATTTATAATATGTTAAAATCAAAACGGATTAAATAAAATATTTTATTTAGTAAATAAATAAATAGAGGTTAGCTATATCAAAAATAATTAATTAATGATAACTAAAAATATGAGCTAGGTTACTAAATTTGGTGGACTTAAAAAGGTTTTAAATAGTCCAAATATTAGTTTATATAAAAAGATATCAAGATTGTCCGTTATGGAAATAAGGCATAGAGTAAAATAAGTTGGTATGAAACTTATGTATTATATGATTTTATTTAAAAGAAAAAACTAAATATAAAATTCTAAAAATTTGAAAAGTTTGAATTTATAAGAAAAATGAGAAATATTAAATTATAAAAGTTAAAGTTTTTTTCTCTAAATTTAAACAAATAATTTTGATAAATAATAAATAAATAAAGGAAATTAATAAGACTTTAATTTAGTAATTTTAAAATTAAAAAGAAAGTTCATTAAAGAAATTAATACGCATTTATTATTATATTTAAATATTATGTGAAATTAATAAAATAGAAAAACCACGTGTGGAATAAAAATTAATACAAAATACTTGACAAATTAAATAAGAATATGACAATTGGCAAAAAAAAACATTCATTTATTAAAGTAGATAATTATTAGAGTTGATATTTCTCTCTCATTCCCACCCTAGAAACAACGTACATCTCCCTTCTCTAATAGTTGATTGTTTCAAGCAAACCAATGATGAATTACAAATTTGATCGGTTAGTGTCTATAAACATTTTGAACATACTCATGACACGGGTAGTGATGATCAATCGTGATTATTATCTCCTACGCTAACAGATCTCTACATAAAAAGATATGCCCTTAAACATCATATAATTATTCATTTTCTTGATTTTTGTTTGTCTAATTGATTCGATTTTGGGGTTATTAAGATTTAAAACAGTATTTTCTGCTGCATAATTGGTTCTTTAAATTGTTTATAAAATTGATTAAACCCCAACAGTAATATAGTGCTATTTTTAGACATAACATTCACATATGTTAACTTATCTTGATCATTATTTGTCCATTGTTCTTCATGTTCTTGTGTAATGAGGAAGATAATTTAAGGTTAAAAGTTGGATTTTAACATTTTAATGGATTGATGTAATTTTTACATTATTGACCAATTTGGATTGTTGTTGAATGGTTGAATGTTTTTTTCTTCCAAATTTGATGTGTGTTGGTTGACTGATTTTGAGCCTAATATTTGTATAGTTAGGTTTTATTTTCTTATATTTTTCTTCCAAATTTGATGTGTGTTGGTTGACTGTAACGAAGATGTTAGTTGACTTGGCCCAACAACCTTAATCCAAATGTGCGATCAACCCCAACCTTACGAAGGAGCGGTCCACCTGCTGGATACATAGGTCCAACAGCCTTCGTCCTAAGATTGACCAAAATTATTTGATAATGGTTCATGTAATAATTTCTAAAATCGAGCTTAGGCAACATATTTATGTTTTATTTATTAACTATGTGTTGATGGTTTGTATGCTTATAATATAACTGTTTGTTTTGTGAAACAAATTAAAACATACAACTAAGTTTTAATAGAACGGCTTAATTTAGAAAAGTTGTAAATAAAATTGATTAAAGAATTTCTTTAAAATTATTTTAACATGTTGATGGATATTTTGTATGCATGTAGTTTATTCGTAACATTTAAATTTTGTAAAATAATGATTATATAAATAAACACAATAAATTTAAATTTTTACTTTTAGATGCAACATTTGTATATGATCCATATTGTCGCTCCAAGGTGAACTTTTTGCATAAATTGGAAATAAACAAAATTTCAAATATTTCAAATTGGACGGCATTCAGAATATACTTAAACTTGGGACAATAACGAGACTAAACATTAATTTTTAGCCATTAGCTAATTGTTATGTATTTGATCAACAAAATATAAAAATAAGCTTTAAAGATATTAACCTTTATAAAGTTAACTTTTTCATAGTGATTAAGTTATAAAGAAAACATCCATTTAATCGCGTCATTGGTATTGCATAAATACTAAATATACGGATCAATTGATTCAACACATATATAGTATCATGATTTCTTCTCAAATTTTCATTAACCTCAACAAATTGATAAGTTAGAATTGAATCAAGAGATGAACAGGAGATTCGTTAAAAGCTTCATGCAGATATGAAAAAAGTCATTGGACTGATTGTTTGTGGGTAAAACATACTAGACGATTGTGCTTCGCACTCATATGTTTTTTATGAAGCAAAATATTAAAATGTGTTACTGTAGAAATATCATCTTTATATAAACTATTTATGTTAATCCGCTTAATTGTAGTTATTTAGTTATTTAATATAAAATTTATTATGATAGAAAATATAAAATTTTACTAAATAACGTTGTAAATTTTGTATATTACATGTATGGAAAAATGTCCACATCAAATATTTGTCATTTGCTTTTTTTTTTTTTTTTTTTTTTTTTGATTACCTAAAATACCCTTTTACCTATTAAATAAAAAAACATTCTAGGTTAATTCCAGTTTCACCTGTTATCCTTTATCTTTTCCCAAAATTTTCAAAATAAACAAATCAAACTTAATCTACATGGCTTTTCTTTTTCTTTTTCTTTTTCTTTTGGGCAAACTACATGAACTCATAATGACAATGTACTTAAAAACAGAACATTTCATATGATGCTAATATGATATTATTTTTATTTAGAAGGTCAGAATACGAGAATGTTATAACAACATACAGAAAGCTCAAATCACTGGTATCCATAGGCCTTAAACTGTACAACCATGTTTGCTTCCACTTCTTCAAGGGCATTTTAGTCTTTTTCTAAAAATATCTACAATAGGAAGCGAGTCTGTAGAGTAGTCCAACAAAAGGTCAATGAAAAAATTAATAACTATGTATCATGTGTTATGTTGCAAAGTTGATGGAAGAAACTTACTTGAAAGATCTCAGGGCTTATGGTGGAGATGAATTCATCATCCTTCCTCATTCTCAGCATCAGGAATATTTTCCTCATTGCTATGAACCACTTCTGCTTCCATTTCCATAGTCAATGGTTGCATAACGGATGTGCCTAAAAGTACATAAATGGCATAAGATTCCATTCTCCAATTCCTTTTATTTGTTCTTCCTCATTTCATTCAGTAATCTAGCCAACAATCAATTAATACTAGCAAACACAGTTTCCATTGGCTTGGTATGATTGATCAAAGTCGGTTTTAATCTAAAACGGTTGGACAACCGACTCAAATTCCATTGTACTGTATGCCCCTAAACACCGTCTTGCTATAGAAAAAAAATGGTTTACTGTTTTACGACTCAAATTTTGCTAACAAATCAAGAAGCCTAATTAGCCTAATCTCAATTGATTCAATAAAATTAAGTAAAAGCATGATCTTGATACCTTCAATGAAATAAGCGGAGGATGGCCAACCACGTGAGGAAGAAATAGACATTGATTCTTCATCCGTCAACGGTTTGCTAAATTTTCTGAGCACACTAATGATGCCGTGAGAATCAGGCCGGTGACGGCGAGGAGGGACCCAGTAAGATGAACCAGGAACGAAAGGAAGCCAATCAGGCGCCGATTGTCTCACGATGATACTATGGATAGCATCTTCGAGCTTTCTCAACCCTAAAACTTCCACATCGCTATCAGATTCAAGGTCGACCTCGATCAATTGAGATTTTCCAGATTGGCTCGCAAATCGATGCTGCTGCGATATGCTTAATTTGAATGTTTGCAAGGAATTCGATGCTGATGATGTTGTTCTAATTAGGGTTTGTGAGAAAAGACGAGCCATGGATTTGATTTGATGAATTTCGATCTGTATCGGGTGTGAAAGAGGGATTTTTGTGATGGATAAAGTGATAGTGTGTGTTTATAAACCGTATATAGATTCAATTTACGATTTACCCCCTTAAAAGCTATATATTGTTTGTTCCAACCTTTACGATTTCCTGTAAGTCCTTAGTAAGATTTAGCATAAAGTTGAGTGCATTACCTCTACATATCTAGATTCCATTTTAGGTCAAAACAAGCAAAAAAGTTACCAAAACTCATGCAAGGCTAAAAATCTCAACCAAATTATAGATCTACAAGATATATTGCTCATGAAACTCATGAGAGTCATAAAGTTGCAACCTTTGTCACATCAAACCAACCAAACATCACTTATTGACCAAGATAAGCTAATAAAGCTAGGTCTACAACCAAAAAAATTCTAAAAATGGAAACTTGAGGACTTACAAATGGTCCAGAGAATAATTCCAAGGATATGGAGGAGTTGTTGCTTGATCTTTGGGCTAGCACCTTCTTCTCCTTCCTTCAAAATGCAACCAAACACTACAAAAAGCTCAATATCACACACGGGAGGATATGGTTGCGGTTTCTGGTCTTGAGAGGGTGATGGAGGCTGAAAGATCACGAAACCTTAGCTATAATGTCCTTTATATGGAGCCCAAAGCTCAGGGACATTGTGACACCCATTGCCATGTTGTGGCGAGTCATTGAAAGCCGAGGTTAAGAAAATAATGTCATGTCGTGGTGAAACCCCACCACGTCGTGAGTTGCAAAAGCAATGATGTTGAAGTTGGGGCAATGACGCGATATGGATCTTGCTTTTTTCTTTATGGTTGGTGATTTTGAAGGCCTTATCTCCCTAGTTCGATTATTGTTGGCTTAGTGATATATGTTGGATGCAATTATCTCTACCACTAGTGGTGCTTATGGAACTTTCGGAACAAAAATATTTTTGATCGGACTACACCAAAACATAACAATATTTTTGATGACATAGTTATTTTTCTTTTTGTTGGATTTTTCTTAAGAAACATAAATTTTGTTTTAATCCGAACTTTTGGCTTCGAACCCTAATTTTAAATATTTTGATTTAATAGTTATATTTTTCATCAGATTCTTTATTTTGTCATTTTTAACAAAATTCAATCATTCAAAAGGCAAAACAAGATTTATAAGCCTAATATATATATATATATATATATATATATATATATATATATATCATTTGAAAACAATTAGTATACATAAAAGGGGAAATTAAGGGGTTAAGATAGTTTATGTTGTTAGTAATTTATGTGATTTTGGGTATGGGGAAGATATAGAGGCTTAGTTGGAGGGGATATACTGTTATTTAGTGATTCTTGGGGAAAAAGAAATCATCATAACATCATATTGTTGTGTGCACTTGCGTAGAAGAGTAGAAGGGACGCGGGCGGCCCATGGTTTTCGGTGATGTGTCACGTTCTTAAGGAAACACCAAATACTTCTAGATGACTAATGTTATATATTAAAAAATTAATAGATATTCGATAAATATGTGTTGAATTGAAGAGTGAAATATGGCAATATTGTAACGGTATAATGTTTTCCAACCAATACCAAGTATATGACGGTTGGAACGATACCCAATAAAAAAGAGAATAGTTATTTCGGTCCGATATATATGTCAAAAAGTTCTATCTAATAGTCTTTTAGTGGGTACGATAACTTAAATTTAAAGTGATTTAGGTATTTGGAGTAGTTCTTATGTTTAATCCACAAATCTTAAGATAATATGAGAAAAAGTTTATCGCAATGCATTTAGGTCCTTATGTCTAGTGGCGAATCTAAAATCGAAAACCATGTTTTCGGTTTCAACAAAAAAAATGAGAAATTAGAAAAAAAATACTAGTAGTGTGTCGGATCGTATGACTTAAACATAACTTCAATAACTATTTTAAAGTTCTTACAATTATACCCTATGAAGTTTTATATATTGAAATACGTGTGTAATTATTGATACTTTCTATTTCCTATAAAAACCTATAAAAATGGCAATTGACAAATCAAATATCCGATAATAGCTACACACCCAACAAGATACATGGCACCATAGAGAGGCCGACACATGACACAATTAGAAGCAGCCCTTTTTGACCACGCATGTAACATCCAAAAATTATGACCCAAAAATTTTACTTTTTTATTTAAGTAAAAGCCATATTCCAAAACATTGTTCATACATCCCAAACAAATAAACATGTCAACATCATGAAATTAGAGTATGTCCCATAAACAGAATCTATATAGTGTGTGCGATGCAGTCAACTCGAGCTCTTCCCATTGGAAACGGAAGTACCTGAAACATAAAATAAAACTCGTAAGCACAAAGCTTAAGGAGTTCCCCAAGATACCATATACCAACATATCATATAATGGGCCCCGCCCAATGAGATACGGGCCCCACCCACACTCGCATAACGGGCCCTGCCCGAATGAGATATGAGCCCCACTTACAATCGCATAACAGGCCTTGCCCAATATCCATACATATACAAGCACATACAAGTATCAAACAAACAACAATATATCAACATAACCAATCAAGGGTCGGCTGTCACACCCCCAAACCAAGGATGGCGGAAACGTCCGGGGATGGAGGACTTCATGTATAGCATCATAACCACAATTTTAATAGTAATTTAAGCAAACACAACCAACATATATATAATTGAAAAAGTTACATCACTTGTATGAATTACATGTTTCAAAATCAATTACAATATGTTGTCAAAATGTGAAAAGTTTGACGCCTTAACGTCCCATCCTCAAAAGCACTTGATAACCTGATTAGTGTTTTCCTGTGAATACAAGTTGTTTGAAAAGTGTCAACACAAAGGTTGGTGAGTTCATAAGCTTTTATTAATAAACTTAGTAGAAGTATTTCACATGTAAATGTCGCGTTTGTTTCAGAAAAATCCGATATTTCCCTTGAAATCCGAGAAATGTAGCCTTATAACCAAAGACTAGAGTGTATGAGAAATCATCGTTTCTTAGTAAAAATGTTGTGAGTTTAAAATGTTATGGAAAGTAAATTTCTTTTATCAACCTAAAACCTACTTCGGTTTTATGAAACCCCGTAAACTTCATGAATTGTTATCCCCTAAGTGAGTCGCTATAATCATACTGTGACTATGTGAACCTGCCACAACGTTTCTCAGGCGTCGCGAAAATGAAATGACATTTGTCACCCGTAGACCTGCAGGTCCCACTGTAGCTAGCAGCAAGGTGTGGGGTGTCAAACCCAATATAGATCTATATACAAGTATCACGTTCTCCCTCAAGGAGATTCTGATTATAACTACCAGGAATTATATCCCGCACTCGGACGTACGGGGAGAGAGAGAGTCTCACAACATAGGTTAACAAGTTTACGTGAAATGTGTGTGAATATAAATCTTTCTTGTATGGATGTACCCTTTTTGTACGAGTGCGTTGAGTGATGTATCATAAACTATACCTATTATAGTTTATCTAAAATGTATGTAATATGTATGAATTCTTTTATGGAAATGTATTAGTATTGTGAATTTATCAAACTATACTTTTTATAGTCTAATAATACGTGTTCCAAAATGAATGAATAATATTTAATATTTAATATGAATGTCTTAGTTTCAGTTCATAATGATAAACTAACAAGGAAACACATACAAATACTAAAACTTATGATTATACACTTTGCTCAACATAATACAAAGTGTTATGATATTTACATGCTGTTGGCAAAATTTAGCAATTCTGCCCTGTTTTGGAAAAATCATAGAAAAATCATACGAAGTCGAAAACTAGATCCGTAAATTCTGAGAGTTCACAAAATGTGTCTAGTTTGCTCATAATTTTTATCACAAATTAATATGACCTCTAACTTGGGTGAAAAAGTCCATAATCACAGACTGGTCCGGATTGTTGTTTGAAATGATAGGCAGTTTTGTAAAAATCACCATAAATTGTAGAAAAATCGTATGGAGATGTGCAAGTAGCCATTTTAAAGCTAAAAACTTGAACTATTTGCACCTTGTACAGTTTTGAAAACAAAAATGTTTAAGATGCCCAAAACAGTCCGTGAATGGAGTTGAACTTTTCTGATGAAGGCTGTTAGAAAAATTTAGTATGTTCTTAGTGTTTTAACTTGTATTCCCCCCTGAAAACTTGAGAAAACATGAAAATGTAGGGGTATGAACTCACCTTGAGTGATTTCAGTAGATGATTGTTGAAGAATGGAAGTGTTTAATTCAAGAACACTTGGAGATGCCTTGAAGGTTTTCGAGAATCTAACATCATAGTTAGGGAGTTTGTGTAAGCAACCAAAGATTTGAGTAGAATGAAGTGAAATAGTAATAGGGAGGATGAATTTTTACTTACTAAGTGTGGAAGAACACTTGAAATCAGCCTTGGATCTCGAAAATTTGTGTAGAAGAGTTTGAGAGAAAAAGTGGTGTTTGTTACTTAGTGGAATGAGAGAAATGAGAGAAAATGAGGAGTGTGGTTGTTTGTTCCAGCTCAAAAACGTGGGAGTGAGTGAAATTTGAGTGTAAGGGAACATTGAAGTGACATAGGTAAGGTGGGGAGGTATGGCTGGTCATAGAGTGGGTGTGGGGTGGTTGCTTGTGTCATAAGTTAAGGCAAAGTCAACACTCTACCTTAAATAAATCCCCCATTAGATCTTTATTATTTAATTAATGATTTTTATAAAAATATGTTTAAATTATGAATATTTAGAGTTTATTATGTTAAAATAAAATTTCTGGAGAAAATCCCGCTTTAAAATCACGAAAAACGGGCTTAAAATGTTAAAAATATCAAAAATGGGCTGAAAATGACAAAATTGCGAAATCTGGCCGAGGCTCGGCCCTCTTATGCTGAACCGAGAGAGAGAGGGAGGCGGAACCGAGAGGAGAGGAGAAGGAGGGAAGGAACCGAGAGTACGAAGAGACAGAGAGGAGAGAGTAGGAACAGAGCGCGCGAGAGACAGAGGGGAGGGAAGGGAACCGAGAGTGCGGCGCGAACAGGGAGGCGGAGTTAGCGAACAGAGAGGCTGAATAGCGAACAGAGAGGCTGAATAGCGAACAGAGACCGAGAGGAGCAGAGCTTGAGCGACAGAGGCAGAGGCTCGGTCTCTGGTCTCTTAGCCACCAGAGGCTCGGTCTCTGGTCTCTAAGCCACCAGAGGCTCGGTCTCTGGTCTCTTAGCCACCAGAGGCTCGGTCTCTGGTCTCTAAGCCACCAGAGGCTCGGTCTCTGGTCTCTTAGCCACCAGAGGCTCGGTCTCTGGTCCTAAGAGGCCTCTCACTCCGGTTTCGGTTCCTAAAGCCTATTTTTCTCGTTTTCGCCCCGTTTCAAGCCGTTTTTGACCCGGTTAAGGGCCGGAATGACCCGAATGATTCCAAAAAGTCGCGGGAAACTTTTGAGAGAGATTTGGGAGAGATTTCTCACACTTGGAGAGATTTGGGAGAGATTTGACATTCTTGGAGAGATTTCTCATACAAAGAGATATTTGAGAGAGGTTTCACATACTTGGAGAGATTTGGGAGAGATTTGACATTCTTGGAGAGATTTTTCATACGAAGGGATATTTGAGAGAGATTTCACATACTTGGAGAGATTTAGGAGAGATTTGACATTCTTGGAGAGATTCCTCATACAGAGAGATATTTGAGAGAGGTTTCCCATACTTGGAGAGATTTAGGCGAGATTTGACATTCTTGGAGAGATTTCTCATACTTGGAGAGATTTAGGAGAGATTTGACATTCTTGGAGAGATTCCTCATACAGAGAGGTATTTGAGAGAGGTTTCAAGTGTGGCATTTGTGAGTGTTTGGTTCCGTAATGCGAGTCTCTTGAGCCTGTTAAGTCATGATTAAGGATCCCACACACTCCTAATGAGCATGCAACATGGTTTTCATCAGTTTAATTCACTGATTAGTACTAAGGCTTAGGAAATTTTTAACACAAAACTTTTCTCTAGTGATGTTTTCCCATTAATATAGCAAGTTATACAGTACGAACATAACACAAATCCTAATACCCAAGGTTTAATAGAGTTGACCGGCTTGACTTGATGATTTGACTTGGCTCAAGATTGACGATTGTCACATCGGCTTTGGTGCCTTAGAACCGCTAAACCGAGTGAGGAAACTCAGCTCGAAGGTTAAACGATAGTTGAATAGGTCCCGACACCGAATATCAGCTCTACCCAACCCCTAAACATAAACAATTCCTTAGATTCAACTCAAAATGCCTCAACATCCCCTATAGGTCAAACTTGGTCAAAGACAAAAGTCAATTATATATTATTTAGGTATAAATAATATTCATAACACAATGTAGCGGAGTTCATAAACCTTATACTATATGACAAATTCATAACAAAGGTTACATATTCATATTTTTGGTGTATTCGTCACCAAATGCGACAAATTCTATACCTATATGATTTAAATTAAGTAATTATACATCATTTCTATCATACTTTTTATAAAAAAATCACAAACTTTTATAAAAAAATACCTATTTTTTTATAAGAGTAAACTAATAAGACCACCTTTGTCTTATATAATTATTACATCTTTATTAAAGTATTGTTGTTTAATTAAGTGAGAGAAGCTTGAATATTAAATTCAATAAAACCACTCCATGTCCCACATAACCCCCCTCCATCATCTCTTTAATTCGGCCGACGCCCCCCCTCTCCCATCTTCAAAGACAAGTTCCCGTCTCTCCCTCAAAGACAAGTTCCCTCTCTTTCAAGACTAATTGGCATAAGTTGGTTATTGATCTTTTGCGAAGTTTTTCCTTACTAATCTAGTGATTCTACACACACACACACACACACATATATATATATATATATATATATATACACTAGTTTTGTTACAATTACACACATTAATATGTGTTAAAATCCATAGGATCTTCTAATCTTTAAGTGTTCTTAGCTTGAAATATCTCATCATCATCTTTTTATCCACCAAGAAACACACTCAAGGTGAGTTCATACCCCTCATTTTCATATTTATCCAAGTTTTAGGGAGGAGGAAGGGGGAGGGGGGGGGGGAATACAAGTAAACTTGTACAATTGTACAAGTTAGTCTACATGCTTTATTTTCATGTTGTGTAAAAATGTTATCTACATGAAATAATGTTATTACCTAGTTTTATGAACATTTATGCGGGGTATGTTGTTTAAAATACAAACTTATGAAAAATAAGTATAAACATGCTATATGTTCTTAAGAAAAAGTCATATAAAAAGAACAAAGTTATAAAAATTATGTTTTTTATGAACATAATATGACTTTTCAAGCAAAACTGGTTATAACCAAATTATTACACCATTTTTATGGGATATAAATCAAAATATGTTATCTTAGACATATGTTATGAAACTAATTATAAATACCAAGGATTTGGTTTTATAAAAAGAAAACCTAAAAATCTATCATGTTATGTACAACTTTGGGTTTTCTAACAAAAATGGACATAATCAGGTTATAATACCATTTTGTGAGATTTGACCTCAAATAGATTGTTTTAAACACATAAAGTTAATTTGACTTAAACGTCACAAAAAGTTAAAAACAAATTTGACAAAATTTATAATTAAGTATTTACCGTTTAGTGACGTAAAAAGTCCAAAAACTAGAGAACTTACTTTATCATACTAAAAGTTCATATACGTGTGTTAGATGTATAATATATGTTATTTATGAACATATATATATATATATATATATTATATATATATATATATATATATATATATAGGGGATGGTTCAAATGAAGACAGTAAATAAAGTGAGGACGTGAAGACATTACTTTTATGTTATTATTCTGCTAAGAATTTTATATATATGTTCTATTGTTGTAATTCTAATGTGAATATTTGGTGTATGATTATTCATATATTTATTTGTAATAAGTTATAATGTTAATATTAAAATATGATTATTCATATATTCATTACCGAATAAAGACAAAAGACAATATATAGAAGATTCATTGTAGAATAATAACATAAAAGTAGTCTCTTCATGTCCTCACTTTATTTACTGTCTTCATTTGAACTTATTCCCATATATATATATATATATATATATATATATATATATATATATATATATAGAGAGAGAGAGAGAGAGAGAGAGTTAGGTTCAAATGTTTGCAACAACTATTGTGTGCATGAATGCACCAATAGAAATTTAGGAAAAATAAAGCATTAATAATAAATATAAGTGTATAATAGTAATCTACATAGTAATTAATTATGGTAAATTGATAAAATCAAATAATATCCCCCTTTAAATTAGGATATCAAATTTAAAACCTCACCCCCACCAGATTAGGGTTTTACTCTTCTTAATTTTAGTCATAACATGTGATGATCCACCTTCCATCTTAGGCCTCCACATGTAGAATGTTCCAGAAGGTAGAGCTTCCAATTCACCGGCTTCTGATGATGAACACGAAGAAGATTCTTTTGGTTCATCAATGAACAACTTCCGTAATGAACTGGTGATAGAATCAGAAGCATGAATCTCATTATCCTTTGATTTAACTTCATCCTTGATGAGAAGATCGAGATTGAAATGAGGAAAAATAGTCCAGCCTCGTGAATCGATCTCTTTTGCTGAAACTCCTTCTTCACTTAAATCCAACGAGAATCTAAAATCGTCTTCATCGGAATCCCTAAATTCGTGAAATTGACCGCCCTGTTCTTCACGTATGATTTTGGCGATAGCCATGGATGTTAAAGTATCATAAGTGTAAAAACTAAAGCTAGGACTGCATACAGAACCTTCGATTTCCCCCTGTTGATCCATTTCCGCTGAAATTCCAGTAATCTTATACCAGGTTCTTCCATGGAATCTTGATTCTTGTCTTGTTGTGTTATTTAATCACTAAACTGATATTATATCAAAAAATACATTTTTATTTGCTAATTTACTAATATGCAGATGCAACTAAGTGAGAATTCACAGCCGATACGGGTCGAGTACACACCAATTCAAGATTCTAGCACAACCATGTTCATCAAATCTGGTGTTATATCACATAATACGGAGTGAGTAAGATCTAATAATTTTATTTTCAAACAAATAAATTAATTAGATCAAATTCATATTATAAAATGTCAATACAGGAGGATCTATTTCTACACAAAAAATAGGTTGCTATTGGAGCTTACTGAGGCTGATCCTCCAAGGTTATATTTAAAAAAAAATCTAGAAAAGGTATTTATGTCTTTTCATAAACATGGGGTAAGGGTATTTTTGTCTTTTCACAATGGATAGATGGATAAACCATGGGAAGCCTCCTGGTGCAGATGTTGCAGCCATAGTAAATGCTCCTAAAATTAGGGCATAGAATGTATAAATGCATAGAATGTATATTCTAGCATAATGTATTTTATGTATAAACATTCTAAAGCATAGAATGTATAAATGCATTCTGTCAAAATATTTTTTGTTAACAACATATATTTTCTTAACTGGTAATATTAATGTGTAATGCATCTTGTTCTTTTAGAATAACATGGAGAAGGAATTCAATATTGATCATACTAGATGAAGATTTGGAATCAAGTTCAACAACTTTATATTAGCGGTAAATATGATATTTTTGAATGTATTCTATGTATTATGTCAGAATGTATTCTGCCAGAATAAAAATCTATTTATTCTGCTAGAATGTATTCTATGTATTATGTCATATTCTATGTATTCTACCAAAATATATAAAGTGATAGTTAATTGCAAGTAATATGTTTTTAACCATTATTAGTTTTTGTTGTATTTATGATAGGATGACTGGAAGAATGCGGTGAAGACCTAATAGGAATAACTTAAAGAAAGAATAAAGTTTGACCATACTCACAATTTAAGAATATTGTTATTTTTTAAGAATTTTATTCATTTTTGTTGATATTCTTTTAGAATATGTATAATTATATTAAAATGTATAAGGCTTTTATTCTTTAAGAATATGTATGAATTTGTATTTAATTTCGGATGTATAAGAATATATTAGAATGTTGTTGTTTTTCAATATCAGATTCAAGAATTTTGTTATTCTTCAATAATATTCTAATAGAATAAAATTCTGAAAAACATCATTCTAGAAAAAAAATATTCTAACAGAATAAATTGATTATGTTTATAAATTACATTGGAATTAAAATTGAATTAATTAAAAAACTCAGATTTTTAAAATTTGTAGAATTAATTATCCCTAAAAATCCGAAATGTTCCCTTTTTAAATGTAGTTAGTTGTCTAAAATACGATTTTGCTAACATTTGTGTGATTATATGGTACACGCAATCCTATTGTAATATCATACACTTTCAAATCATGTCCACTGATTAATTTCATCCGTTGGTCCAGATCTATGCATTCTGGCATACAATAGTTAGTAAAAACAAAATAACATAAGCATATATATATATATATATATATATATATGTGTGTGTGTGTGTGTATATATATATATATATGTGTGTGTGTGTGTATATATATATATATATATATATATATATATATGTACAACGAAATATTTATAATAAACTATAATATGTATATGTTATGGGTCATTAACACTATTATAACATTTTGGAACTAGACGAATAATTATATAAAAGTATATAATTATTATACACTATATTAATACTATCCTAAAGTGATCATTACACTTAAAAGGGTTTTCATTATATAATACATAAATTTGTTGAAACAATTATGTGAGACAAAGTCTTTACCGTACCTACCACAGTACACACTAAAGTCCTAAATTATAACTAGAATCTCGGTAAGAGAGCGTGACACTTGTGTATAGATCTATACCGGACTGACAATCTCGCACCTAAGTTGCTAGCTACAACTAGGCCGACAAGTCTTGGTGACAAATATATAACATTCTGACGCCTGAAGAACACCGCGGCATGCCAACTTTGGTTCTAGCATGGTAGTAATAACTCACATGGGGAATCAACGATAAATTTAGTTTACGGGGTAACATGCATGCAAATGGTTTTCATATAAGAATAAAACTACATAATTCTATTTTAAGTATAGAAATACTTACACAATTTTGGTCTTAGGATTTTAAGACTATAACTTATTTTAAGAAAACATTGGATTTTCTAGGAACAAATACTATCATTTTTACAAGGAAATAATTACAGTTTTTTATCCTTACAAAACTCTCATGAACTCACCAACTCAATTGTTGACACTTTTCAAAACTACTTGTATTCTCAGGAAACCATTAAACAGGTAGTCACAATGATTTTGAGGATGGGACGTTACAAAATCATACTATTCATTTTTTTTATCATAATGTAATTGGTTTTCAAACATATAATACTTGGAAACAATGTAACATTTTCAATTATATATATGATGGTTGTGTTTGCTTTGATCACTATTGTACATTATCTTGTGATACTGTTCATGAAGTCATCCACCCCCAGATGTTTCCGCCATCATAGTTTGGGGGTGTTACATGTGGATTCCTCCAAAATCAAGGCAATTGAAAACTGGGAAGCGTCAAGGACACCGACAAAAATCCACCAGTTTTTGGGCCTTGCTGGCTACTACCAAAGATTCATACAAAACTTTTCAACCATCGCAAAACCACTTACTGCCCTGAACCATAAAGAAATGACCTTCAGCTGGGGGAATAAACAAGAAACCGCCTTCCAGACGCTAAAGCAAGCTTTATGCAGTGCTCCGATCTTGTCCCTTCCAGAAGGAACTGAAGACTTTGTGGTCTACTACGATGCGTCCAAGAAGGGTCTAGGTTGCGTACTCATGCAACGTGAAAAGGTCATTGCATATGCCTCAAGACAATGTAAGACTCACAAGGTCAACTACACCACACACGACCTTGAATTAGGGGCAGTAGTGTTTGCCTTGAAGATCTGGAGACACTACCTTTATGTTACAAAGTGTTCGATCTTCACTGACCATAAGAGTCTCTAACAGATCCTCAATCAAAAAGAGCTCAATAGGAGGCTACAATGATGGGTAGAGTTACTAAATGATTACGAATGCGAAATTCATTATCATCCGGGCAAGGCCAATATGGTAGCATATGCCCTACGTCGAAAGGAATACTCGGGCCGCCGAGTAAAATCATTGACAATGACTATCCATTTACATTTGTCCACTCGAATCAAGGAGGCGCATCTTGAAGCCTTGCAAGGAATGGATAAAAACCTTGAGGTCAAGGGTGACGGAGCTCGTTACCTCATGAATTTAATCTAGACACCAAGATTCGTCGGATACAGAGACATTATCATGAACGAAGCTCATAAGACCAAGTACTCCGCTCATCCTGGGTTGGGTAAGATATATCTAGACCTCAAGAAACTATATTGGTGGCCAAACATCAAAGTAGAGTACCAAAAGCCCTCGGGTGTGCTACAACAGCCGGATATAACCGAGTAGAAATGGGAGCGGATAACCATGGTCTTCATAACTAAATTTCCCAAGAAAACCGGTGAATTTGACACCATATGGGTAATTGTCGATAGGTTAATCAAAACCACACACTTCCTACTAATAAAGGAGACAAATAATATGGAGAAACTAACAAGGACGTTCATCAAGGAGATGGTACCATTACATGGTGTGCCAATATCCATTATTTTTTATAGAGATAGCAGGTTTACCTCATGGTTTATCACTACAAAAGTAGTTTGGAATTAGGCTCGACATAAGTACAACCTATCACCCTAAAAAATACGAGTAAAGAGAGAGAACTATTCAAACGCTGGAAGACATGTTGAGAACTTGTGTGACGGACTTCGGTAAAGCTTGGGATACCCACTTACCACTCGTCGAATTCTCATACAACAACAATTATCACTCTAGCATTAAATTTGCTCCATTTGAAGCCCTCTATAGGCATAAGTGCAGATCACCTCTGACCTGAGATCATACGAGAAACGACAGAGAAGATCGTTCAGATCCATGAATGACTAAAAGCATCTCGAGACTGACAAAAGAGTTATGTGTATAAATGACGCAAACCCATGGAAGTCCAGGTTAGACACCACGTATTGTTGAAAGCCTAACCCTATAAGGGAATGATACATTTCGGAAAATGTAGGAAACTAAATCCAAGGTATATAGGGCCATTCGAGATCCTTTCCAAGAATGGCCTGGTAGCTTATAGACTTCGGCTACCGCAGGAACTCAACAACATGCACCCCACTTTCCATGTGTATAACTTGAAGAAATGCCTATCCAATGAGACTCTCGTCATTCCACTTAACGAAATTGAAGTAAACGAGAGTCTCCACTTCATCGAGGAACTAATGGAAATCATAGACAGGGAAGTCAAAAGAACGAAGCAAATCCGCATACCAATAGTAAAGGTCCGTTGGAACGTCAAGCGAGGACTTGAATTTACCTAGGAACGTAGGACCAAATGAAACAGAAATACCCTCATCTTTTCCCTAACTCTTGAGAACCCACTCGAAGTGCTAATTTCAGGACAAAATTGCTTCTAATAGAGGGATAATGTGACAACCGTTAGTTTCCGTCAAACAAAGTCAACAAAAGTCAACCAGGTCAACTCAACTCGTATTAGAATTTTAGGAGAAATGTAATATTCCCTAATGTTACTAATATACTATTGGCAAGTTATAATTCAAAGTACCTCTGTTTTTACCAGTTATTAAATATAAACCCTACCTAGGGTTAGTAACGTAAAAATTCTATACACATATATACTAGTTTTGTTACAATTACACACATTAATATGTGTTAAAATCCACAGGATCTTCCAATCTTCAAGTGTTCTTAGCTTGAAATCTCT